TTGTAACAGTACTGCGCGCCAACGGCCAGATCGCTAGCGTCGGTGATGAGCTCGAACGGACGGTGAGGATGTGCAATCCGAAGAACCGGAGGTGTAGTCAGGAAAAGTTTGAGTTGTTCGAATGCAGCCTGCTGCTCTCCCCCCCACTCATAAAACTTGCCTTTCGTTAGAAGATCCGTGAGAGGTGACGTGACCCCCGCCATGTTCGGAATGAAACAATGAACGTAATTCACAAACCCCAGGAAACTCTGAAGTTCGCGTAGATTAGCCGGCGGCTTCCAGAGGAGTCGGAAGTATATGCGTAAGCACCACCCCGGCATCGACAGGCGCGCCTCGTCATGGTGGACCTTCCGGTTCCGCGCACGCTGGGGACTGACGAAGCATGTGAAGACGAAGATGCGCCAGTGCATGACTGCATGTATGTAATTTGACGTGCTGCGAATACTCCCTGCCCTCGTCATCTGCTCTAGCTCTTGTCGTGCTTCCTTGTTTGCTGACCGTACTTTTGCTTTGTCTATTTTTGTTTTTCATTATTTTCATTGGCAGACTGTGACGCGAAGGTCGAGAATTTCTGGGAGTTCGTTCGGCAGCTCCACACGCTCAACGACTACCCCGACGACCTGATCATCAACGCAGTTCAGACGCCACTATTCTTGGAGATGCCGCAGGAGACCACACTCGAAGTCCGAGGCTCGAGAACTGTCCATGTGCGCACGGCCGGCTACAAGAAGGAGAGGCTGACCGTCATGCTGGCCGTCACAGCAAGTGGCAAGAATTTAAGCCGTACGTCATCTTCAAGCAGAAGACACTACCTCAGATCTGCGTCCCGCCCGGTGAGGATTTTGTGCCTGTTTTTTGTGCCGCCACCGCTAATATTTTTCGTAGCCGTCTTTCCAGGGCGAACTCTAATGTTTCCTACCTTGCGCTTGTGCAGGAACAGTGATCAAGGCCCATGAGAAAGGGTGGATGGACGAGACTCATGTCAAGGACTGGGTCACAACCATCCTGGTGCCGTTTCTCTGCTCGATACCCTCGCGGCGCGGTGGCCATCAGAAGGCTCTGGTGATCCGGGATTCGTACAAGGGACACCTGATGGAGGGAGTGTCCCAGTTGATGCGGCTCTTCAAGCTGTCCAGGGCTGTCATCCCCGGCGGCTGCTCGCCCATCGTGCAGCCTCTAGACGTGGCGGTAAACCGGTGCGTCAAGGCGCATGTCCGGAGGTCCTACAGCAAGTGGTTCGAAGAATTCGACTGCGAGTCCACAACCCCGGTTGGTGACTAACGTCTTTATTGTTTGTCTTTAAAGCATCTACCCGCGTTGTGATTTTTTTAACCATGCCTTGCATTTCTCCACCACTACTCCTAAAGCCCCCACCTACTGTCTCGTCGTTGTGTTTTCCCCTGCAGGGAATCTTTGCAAGCCGCCAGCCGAGCTCATTCTGCAGTGGATTGCCGACGCCTGGGCCGCGGTGCCAGCTGAACTCATCCGCCGCGCGTTCAAGATGTGCGGCATTTCCAACGCAACCAACGGCACGGAGGACGAAATGATCCTCGCCCACATGTGGGACAACACCGAGGTCGAAGTCATGGAGGACGTCCATGCCGAAATGGAAGAGAGCGGGGCTCTGAACCCATACTACGAGTCGGAATATGTGGAGCCGAGCGCCACGCCCAGCTCGGAGGAAGACAATCCCGATGTCGAGGCTGAGATTGAAGCTGCAGCAACTGCCTCATCATCCGGTGCAACGGGAGCTGCAACAGCTGCGCCAGCATCAGAGGCGTCTGGGGATCCAGGAGTCCGCACAGCAGCAGCAGCAACAACATCTACAGAAGCAGCGACAGAGGCGGAGATATCAGCTGCCGAAGGTGACGAAGGTCTAGAGATGCCTGCGGCGGAGGTTCTGGTGGGCCTGGATGCGTCCCGCTGGACTGATGACTTTGACTGGGATGACATCGCTAGTGACGACGTAGATGCCGAGGTGTGGCATGCAGGAGAGGACCACGATGAGGACAACGACAGAGAGTAACTATTGACTTACCTGCTAGGACATGTAGCTAGCTGTTGGATTACCAGTGTGTGCTGAGTGAATGGTAGTGGTAGCTAGCTTAGGTAGTCGAAAATGCACTAGAAATGCCTCGCCCAACGGATAGGCTTTAGACTAGTGTTAAATTTGTTGTCTAATGATTAAACATTGGCGCTAGACCAGTAAAATCCACAAATCCTCGATGGAGGGTGTTATATATAATTCGTACTAAAAAAAGTGGGTGCTCTAAAAAATCCATCATATCATAAGCTATCCCCCGCATATGCCACCCATGGGTGACTATTTCAGCGGGCCTCATATAAGAGGGAATACAATATGCGCAGAGAACCAACGGGGAACATAATAACGAAGCCGTTTATGTGTGGATCACACTATTCTTGCCAACCACATCCTCCTCAATGGACAACGCACTTGAAAGTTGGTGGCATGGTTTTATCTCGTGCTACAAGGCAACTATTGCCGCGCCTACATTTATATGCGTTGTCAATTTTGTACAACAGCTTTGTTATTGTACAATTTCGTTCAGGACCTGTGTGTGCATGTATGGAATGCGCGATCTGTTACAACACTAAGGGCGGGTCCAAATATTTCACACTTAATTCATTTCGCGAAAAGTAACCCGATTTTAACCTCGCGCTGATTTCGCGAGGACAGGTGCGCGAATTTGCCGTAACCCGGGACAGTCGACGCATGTGAAGGTACATGTACCCCAGTCTAGATCCGTTTACGATTTGGGGACGGTAGGTGCACGTATGGGTGGACACGAGTGGCAATTTAGGGTTTCGCCAAGGCGAGCTTGACGAGAACAAGGCGAATTGACGAAAACATCGCGTGGCGCACTGCAAATCGCAAATTCCAACCAGCCCAGCACGAAATATCTGTCTCGCAGCTTCAGCATTTGGTAACTGCGATTTGGGGCGTTTGAGGCGAACCGTTTTTTTGTGACGCACCCAGTTGGCACAAGTCTCTTTTTTTTTTTTTTTTTTTTTTTTTTTTTTGGGTTGCGGAGCAACCTATTGCGATCGACCGGACGCGATTTTTTTTTCAAGTTTAATTAACAAATTTGTGAAAAAAACTATTATATTGAAGTAAAAGATGGAGATTAGTGACAAATATAGTATGAATCATTCATTTTAACTGTTGAGATAGTCTAGGAACTAGGAAGGTAGGCGGCCATGGAATAGCGAGGAGGTTTTAGATCTAGGGGAGAGAACATGTCGAGAGAGAAGGAAGTCGACTAGAAGAGAATGAGGTACAAGAAGGGGGTTGTCCCCTCTACAGTAGGATGCAGTTTGTAGCATAACTACCAAGCCTACAATTACATAAAATATAATTTTAACATTAACTACATGGATTCATTAGCTTGACTATGTAAATAGTTGGATGAAAGTGCCATACTAGAACTACGTATAATGCTATAGTTCAAGATAGACAAAAATGGAAAACAAATGTGTTCATGTTTTCCATCATTTCTTGTTTCGTGTTTGAAGAAAAAATGAAAAAAAAAGATATCTCTTCCCAAACTATCTGAATGGGATTTTCTTATATATATATAATATAGTGTAATGTATTAATTACACTATATTATTGGTAAAAATTTTATGGAAAACAAAAATTGTAAATGTTTTCCATAATTGCATATCGCGTATTTTTGTCGACGACAAAAATAGGCAATCGCTTCCCCAGCTAAGTGGGGGAAATCGAAAGCCTAGAGGACAAGTCACACGACATATTGTGAGGCAATACATTTCGTGACAACAAAAAAATGGATTGCACTCATCATCTCCAGTTCAAATGACTGCACTCAAGGTGGAAAGTCAAAGAACCTTACTTGAGACGATCAATACAACCCACTTTCTTGCATACACAAAATGCACCACCCGTCTATCAAACAAACAGTAGCAAAAAAGAAAAATGTCCCATCCCAACACAAAGGAAAAGAAAAAGAACATCGACACAACACATGGACTCTAAGATTCATCAGGAGAAAGGAATATCGCAAGAAGCATAAAACATTTAAAACATGTTATTCTAGATAAAAACCACTGTTGGAAACCAGAGATCTCTTCCTGAAGCATTCCTGATGCACCAACACACGTGGAAGAAATAAGAAGAAAAAAGTAATACAAGTTAATTGAGGAAACAAGACAAGGTAGAATACGGGAAATGAAAACGAGGATTGAAGAAATGAACGACATATCAGACAGGGGTAAGAAAATGGGACGAGAGAGGTTGAGATGGAGAGAGGAGTGAGGGTGGGGGAGGGGGGGATGAGAAAACCGGGAAATGAGAGAATGGTCAATGAGAAAATTGAGACAATGAGAGAATTAGAAAATGAGCGAGTGGTCAATTGGAAAATGAGACTATGAGAGAATCGGAAAAGTAGAGAATGAGAAAATGAGGGAGGGAGGGAACAATGGGAGAATGAGTCAATGAGGGATGAGACAATGAGAGAATGTGGGAGTGAATGGGAGAATGAGAGCGTAAAGAAACTAGAAAATGAGTGAGTGGGCTAATGTGTGAAAGGAGTAGGGAAATACAAGAATACGATATCAAGAGCATTATAGAATGATCTACGGGACAATGAGACAATGAAAAAATCAGAAAACCAGAGAATGAGAATATGGGAGAGTGGTCAATGGGAGGATTGAGAAAATGAGAGAATTGAAAAAACTAGAGAATGAAAGAATGAGGGAGGGATGGAACAATGGGAGAATCAGAAAACCAGATAATGAGAGAATGATAGAATGCGAGAATGAGAGTGAATAGGAGAATGAGAGAAAAAATAAACAAGAGAATGAGTGAGTGGGCTAATGTGTGAAAGGAGAAGTGGGAGAATGCGAGAATAAGAAAAAAATGAACACGAACACAAGTTTAAAGGTAGCGCACGGGAAATGGAAATGAGGATTGAAGAAACGAACGACGCATCAGATAGTGGTTCAACAAATGGAAAGAGAGAGAAAATGGTAAGAAAGAGAGAGGGAGAGAGAGAGAAAGAGAGAAAGAGAGAAAGAAATAAAGAGTGTATGTGTGTGTGTGTGTATGAGAGAGAGAGAGAGGGAGAGAGAGAGAGAGAGAGAGAGAAAGAGAGAGAGAGAAAGAGAGAGAGAGGTAGTGTGAGAGAGAAAGAGAACGAGAGAGAGCGAAGAGAAAGAGGGAGAGAACGATAGAGAGAGAGAGAGAGAGAGAGAGAGAGAAAGAGGTAGAGAGAGAGAGGCAGGGTGAGAGAGAGAGATAGAGAGAGAGGGGGGGGCAGACAGAGAGAGGGAGAGAGCGGCAAAGAGAGAGAGAGAGAGGGATAGAGAGAGGGGCAGAGATAGAAGTAGTGTGTAAGTGTGTGAGAGAGGAAAAGAGAGTGAGAGAGAGAGAGAGGTAGTGTGTGAGAGAGAGAGAGAACAAGAGAGAGAGAGAGAGAGAGAGAGAGAGAGAGAGAGAGAGAGAACAAGAGAGAGAGAGAGAGAGAGAGAGAGAGAGAGAGAGAGAGAGAGAGAGAGAGAGAGAGAGAACGAGAGAGAGAGAGAGAGAGAACAAGAGAGAGAGAGAGAGAGAGAGAGAGAGAGAACGAGAGAGAGAGAGAGAGAGAGGGGGGGGGGGGAGGGGGGGCAGAGAGAGAGAGGGAGAGAGGTAGTGTGAGAGAAAGAGAACGAGATAGAGAGAGAGGAGAAAGAGAGAGAGAGCGAGAGAGAGAACGAGAGAGAGAGAGAGAGGGAGAGAGAGAGAGAGAGAGAGAGGGGGGGGGGGGGGGGGGGGGAGGGGAGGGGGGAGGGGCAAAAAGAAAGAGGTAATGAGAGAGCGAGAGTGAGTTCCCGCCAATCCCCTAATCAACCCCGTCGCCCCCCCTCCCCGTCAATCCCGCCGTCAATGCCGCCCTCGCCAATCCCCCGTCAATTCCGTCGCCAATCCCGTCACCATTCCCCCCGTCAATCCCGCCGCCATTCCCCTCCATCAATCCCGATATCGAAACCCCTTACTAGAAGAGATGGAAAAACGATTTTGAAAAGAGAAAAATGAACCCATGGAACTACTTGCCTTGGGTAGGAATCTAGGTGGCGAGGTGGCGTGGCTGAAACCGCAATGTGAGAAGCGAGCATAAGGAAGCGAAAAAAGAGGGCAGAACTCTAGGAGCATTTGATTCGTCGCAAATGTACCAGGATGGTACACAGAGATTCACAAATTTTGCAGTCTTGTTTAGCGTGGTTTTGTGCAGACGACCCGAGTTCGATTCTTGGAAGCACATTTTAACAACCCTTGGCTGTGTCAAACCTGAAAAAAAAATTGAGATGCACTATTAAAACAATGTATACAAACGAAATATACTAACACTTCATTAACAACTGTAAAATAGCATCGCATCAAATGGTAATAGTCATAATCTTGATGTAAAATGCAAAATCACATATCTAAAATTGCAAAAAAAAGGAAGATAGCTCTGCAACCCTAAGACGATTTTGTCGACTCTTGTTTTTTCTCCACAATGTGGGACGCGGTTTTGGGGGAAAACGATTTTGGGATCGTTTTCAGTTTTTGTACTAGAGCTCGTGAAAACGTGTCCAAAAACCCCAATAACTATTTGGACCCTCCCTAAGTGTACATCGAGTCTATGGTAGCGTGTAGTACGACTGACCGGTAGACTTGTGTACTGCTCAGCTGCGTCAATGTGACAACAAAGCTTCCCTCGTAAGCAGTCTTCTGTTCACAGCAAAAGTGATAGACACATCATTTCGCAGTCGAGGTCGTGGTTTACTATGCTTGTGCGACGAGTTCTCATTTGACCCTCACTGCGATAATGGCAACTTCCCGCCAAGCAATGGAGAGAGAGAAGGAAAACGATGTGGTGCGTAAGCTGAGCTTTGATTTCCCTGTTGTCACTTTTAGATCCTTGGCCTTTGACATCTCCTGTGAAATTCTTTTGCAGGGAGCACAACCTGGCAGCGGCTCGCAGAATTGTGGAATGGGGGTAGTGTTTTCTGAATTTAAGCACAAGCTGCAGATATTGATGTCGGAGGCAAAGAAGGCACAGGTATAGCTTCTGTTCAGGGGTGTCGACGTGCACCAGTTTTAGTGTGTAAACAGTTTGTCACAAACCAGTACTGCCGTTTTTATGTCTGCAAGAAGAGGAGGATGAGAGTCAGAACGAGATCGAAACACTACGTGCGGTGAGATAAAAAAGCGACGTTTACATGTGGTTCTCCAAAGTTTAAATCGTATCGACGCCCTTTCGTTCATTGTACTGACGCAGAGAGAACGTTTGTTAATCGAACAACCGGAGGAAGATAGGAAGCAAGTGATGCACATCATGGGGAGGGAAAGGATGAAAGCCGAGAAGGCGAAGGCAGAGGTACGTAAGGAATTGCAGGATGCACATGATGTTCCTTCTGAAGGTTGTGCGCTTTGATCAACTTTGTTACACAGGTCGACGAACTTCATAAAGCAACTAAATCGCTTGAATCCAAGATTCTTGTGCTGGAGAATAACCTTGTGTCTCTAGCCGAGTCCAACAAAAAGGCTATTGAGGAGCTTCAGGTATTTGACGTCCTTTAATTCGGCACGAGACTGAATGAAGGCACTATCGTATCACGGGGAAACCTTCCGAATCCACTTATTGCGTGTCTACCCTTACTTTATTGCTCCTTAACTGCCCTAATCAACAAATCTAGGTGGTCGCTGAAGTAAAGGATGCGGAATTTGCAAAAGCGAAACAAAAGCAAACGGTATGCTTCCCCCATTTGCGTACTCTTCTTTTGTTCTTGGCTTACTTAGCTCCACTGACTGCTTGCAGGAAATCAAGGATGAGCTCAACCTGGTCAACTCGGCGCATCTTAAAGCTCAACGGACTTGCATTGAGCATGAGAATCGATCCAATGAGCTGACGGAGCTTGCTGAGAGCTTGCGGCAACAAATTTCTGAACAAGAAATCCGCCTCGCTAAGGTGGGGGACTCAGATTAAACTACTGTTAAGCATTCGAGGCTCATTGGAAAGCGTGTCCAGGGTTTTTAAGGTGGTGCCTTTTTCTGACTTAAATCTGTTCACGTGGTCATGTGACCAGATGGATTCTGAATGCTCCAAGACAAAGGCCACTGTCAGCGACATGAATGATGTGATTGAGGAGACGCAACAGGAGTAAGTCTGGAGTGTCTGTTAAGAATTTTCGGTTGAATTGATTTGTTATAACCTTTCCTTTCCTATTTGTAGGCGGAAAGAAGAACACGACTGCTGGAATGTAACAACTGCGCAGCACTCAAAGGAGATGCAGTGCTTTAAGCAGAGACTGGAAATTTTTTAGAATGAGAAGGCTTCAAGACTACGAATGAATAACTCTGGGACTTCTTCTAGTGGCTTAACAGGTGGGCTAAAGGACAAGTTTCCACCTTTTTTTTATACAGCATTCGATTAATATTGGACATCTCGGTGGCAGGTGAATTTTCCATCGTCATAGGCTGTGATGATCTCTGGCAGCCTCTTGAGCTGGAAATATCTCAGCTGCAATCGAGGCTGAACGAGGTACACCTGAAATGGGCCTGTATTGTAGCGTGGAGGCCATAATCATGCTTATGAAGATTCTTTCTGCCATTTTTCCGTTGGCTATGTAACCAGCTTCGTTACGTCCCAACGTTCATTTTGTAGATGGAATCAAAGTACGTGAATTGGCCGAGGATTCAGAAGGGATGTGACACTGGATCTCTTATCTGTATGTTTCTTTAATTATGTTGGAGATCTGGCATGTTGATTATCTGTATCATTACTAATATGGAAGGACAATATCAGGATTCTCTCATGCGAGCACTTCGTGTGAAGGCATTTCGTGCTTTCTTGACCAGCAAGTCAAGGTCGGTTTTGTTACTTGCCTGCGACTTGCCCAGTATGTTAGTTGGATTTCGGTTTCGAACTTTGTGCGTCTTGGTATACCCAGCTTCCGTTTTTGCTTGCAGAAAGTCAAGGATGAGCTCGACCTGGACAACTCAGTGCATCTGAAAGCTCAACAGGCTTGCATTGAGCATGAGAATCGATCCAAGGAGCTGATAAGGCTTGTGGAGGACTTGCGCCGACAAATTTCTGAACAAGAAGGCTGCCTTGCTGAGGTGGAGCTACTGTAAGGCATTCAAGGTTCTTTTTAGTTAGTTGTGTTTGGGGGTTTTAAGGCGATGGCTTCTCTGAATCCCCTGTTCACGTGATCATGTGGCTGCTGCAGATGGATTCTGAATGTTCCAAGGCAAAGGCAACTATCACCAAGATGAATGACGTGGTTGAGAAGATGGAGCGGAAGTAAGCAGAACTATTGACGATTTCTTTCTTTTCGGCTACTGTAAGTCTAACCTTTGATTCTCCCACGTCTAAGCGGAAAATGGAACAGGACGGTTGGAATGCAACACCTGTGCAGTAATCAAAGGAGATGCAAAGCCTCAAACAGAGACAGGAACTTATTGAGAATGAAAAGGCGTCAAGAATACATATGATTAACTATGGGACTTCCCCTAGTGGCTTAACAGGTGGGTGAGAACCCGAGTTTCTCACCATTTCCTTTATACAATGTTGGCTTAACAAGTGCCATGTCTGTGGCAGGTCAAGTCTCCATCAGCACAGGTTGTGATGACCTCTGGCAGCCTCTTCAGCTGGAGATTTCTCAGCTGCAATCGACGCTGTGCGAGGTACACCTGAAAACCGACTTGTGTTGTAGAGATCTCATAACACATACTTAAGCCTTCTTTTCACTTTTTTTTTGTTGTTGTTCTCTTCGTTACCTCAAAACGTGTATTTTGCAGGTGGATTCAAAGTACGGGAATTGGCAATGGATGCAGGAGGGATGTGACACTAAGTCTCTTTTGTGTAAGTTTCTCTTATTACTCTGGAGGTGTGGCCTGTCAATCAATTCTTATCACTTTCTTATATTGGGAACAATATCAGGCTTCTCTCATGCAAGCACTTCATGCGACGGCATTCCGTCCATTGTAGACCAGCAAGTCAAGGTTATTTTCATCAGTTGCATGCGACTTGCCCACTTATATTATTCAGATTTCGGTTCCAACCCTTGTGCTTCTTGGTTGACTTAGCTTCCTATTCTGCGTGCAGGAAATCAAGAATGAGCTCAACCTGGTCAACTCAGAGCATCGTAAAGCCCAGCAGGCATGCATTGGGCATGAGAATCGATTCAGGGAGCTGACGGAACATGTGGAGAGCTTGCGTCAACAGATTTCTGAACGAGAATGCCGTCTTGCTGAGGTGGGGACTCAGATTAAGCGACTGTTAAGCGATGGAAGCCCATTTCTGAAAATTGGGTCAGGGGTTTCTACGGCGGTGTCTTTATTGACTCATTGTGTGGCTGCTGCAGGTGGATTCTAAATACTCCAAGGCAAAGGCAATTATCAGCGAGATGAATGGCATGATTGGGAAGATAAAGTAGGAGTAATACTGGTATATTTGTTGAAGCCTTTTGGTCTACTTCCAGAACTCTAACCTTTTTCCTCCCATTTGTACGTGGAAGGTGGAACAGGACGAATGGAATGCAACAACTGGGCAATACTCGAAGGCGATGCAGTGCTTCAACCAGACTGGAACTTTTTGAGAATGAAAAGGCCTCAAGATTACAAATGATTCATTCCGAGTCTTCTCCTATTGGCTTAACAAGTGGGCTTTCGATCCATCAAGTTCTTCACCATTTTCGTTTACAACGTTGAGTTAACATGGTCCATCTCTGTGGCAGTTCATGTTTCCATCGGCACTAATTGTGATGACCTCTGGCAGCCTCTTGAGCTGGAGATTTCCCAGCAACAGTCGACGTTGTGCGAGGTACAACTGAAGTGGGGTTTATATTTGGAAGGCTTTTGCTCTGCCGTCTTTGTAGATTACGGCCAACTTCATTTCATTTGATTGTGCAATATGCAGGTGGCGTCAAAGCACGTAAATTGGCCAAGGATCCAGGAGGGTTGTGACAATTATTCTCTAATCTGTACGTTTCTCTCATTACGTTGGACGTGGAGCATCTCATTCATTTGGTATCAGTTTCTAACATGAAACATTATCAGGTTTCTCGCATGCAAGCACTTTATGTGCAGGCACATGCGTCCTGTGTCAACGCGCAAGTTCAGTGCCTTATCAGTTACCTTTCTTCAGGGCCCCTGTACCATGCTGTAACAATGACTGAAGGGCTCCAGGAGGTTAGACTTGTAGTAGTAAAAGAGGAGTTGGGGGCCATCGCGGTATTCACTCATTGTTTTGCTGCAGGTTGATGGTGTGCATAAAGTGTTGCGCCGCAGTGGACTTGGGCTTGGAAATTTAGCTCTTCAAGGTAAATAGATTACTCTATCGTTCATTGTGTCACTTGCCTCCAGTGCCTTGACTAATATTACCTTTTCCTTTCAAGTTGTCCCTGCTAAAGGAAATGCATTCGATGAATTTTCTGGACTGGATGGTCGTCTCTGCTCAGGACTTCCCACTCCCCTTGCGCTTCAAGCTACACCAACCCAGGGCGCCCGGACTTTCGAAGAAAATGTCAGTCAGGTGGCCGTATCACAAGATTTAGACTCGCAGCAGACCATCGGCAGTGGAGGTATGCAGAGCAAGAGAAGGAGGCAGTTCAAGGTGCCTCTACCTCAAGCAAAATCAAGTCAAGGGACACACGTACAAGAACCTGATTCTCAGAAGGCCGAGCCAGATGTGTCGATTTCAGTGTGCGCTGGACCTGGAAATGATGTGTTAAAGCTTGCTGATGGTAACATGCCCCCTATGAGTGTGCTCCCTGAGAAGGAATCGGCGCCCATTGTTCGACAAATCAAGCATTTGCAAGAGCCGGGTGTGACGCTGGGAAACATTGGCCTCATCCAATCCAATCCTTCCATTGCCCTTTCCCCCGAGCAACTGCAAGCACCAACACAAGCCCATTTGCAAAAGTTTGCCAAAGATGACGGAGCGGCAGATACTGCTGAGGGTGTTACCGCTTTTGTTGGGGCGGAGGACAAGCAAGCGGGTATCGCTAATCAAGCTGTTCAAGATAGGGAGATGCAACGTGGTGGTCAACTCTGGCGTCTGCAATGCTGGGCCCGAAGTTACTGCAACTTCCTAGGGGGATGCGTCCGAGAGGACGAAACCTGTCATTGACTTGAAGCCTGGTGGTCTCTTGGGCAACAGTGTCTGTGCTGAGCTCGAGATAGTCCCTAGGCAGTCTCTGGGAATGCAGAATATTTCTTGCAGCTCATCAGCAGGCGGCTGCGGTTCATTTGCCAATATGGCATCTCCACAGAAGAAAGATGCAGCAGCTGTGGACCCAGCTGCCCAACGACTGACAAGTCTTCCTGAAAGCATCGTCTCGTTATTTGCAGAGGTAAATACCTTCGTTGTTCTGTCTGGCTGCCTTTTCTTTGGCTGCTTGATAATCCTGGGTTGATCTTTGCATGGAATTGCCTATGGCGGTGCCACAGGAACAAAGACATGTGATGTCGTTGACACCCCTGTGCTTAC